AGTGCTGGCAGAGGAAGCTCACGGGAAAAAGGCAGCAAGCACTGTGAGGTAAATCACTGCAGACCTACTGGGCATGACAGCCCAGGAAGCTAATGATCTCTCCAGGAAAGAATTGACTGCAGTTATCCCGCGGTAGAATGGGGAGGACAGACCCCCAGATGTGAGTACAGTCTCTCCTTAATGCAGGGTTTGGAGCAGTAGGAGCAAAGTGAGTTATTGTAACTGATAGTGATCCCTAAGGACTGGTGCCTGGGTGCCTGGGCGCCTGTGGATCATCTCTGGGGAGGTTGTGCATGATGCCTGGTGGGACTTTTTAAAAAAAAATTTTATTGTTGAGAGTGTTACAAATGTCCCTGGCTGCGACTCCTGTTTGCATATCTCTTCTAGAATATTTTGCCTGAATATAGTGGCTTTGGGATATTGGGAACAGGAGACTTCGTTGTAAATCCTCAAGAAAACAGCAAAAGCAAACCTCCTAGACCTTTTGCTATAAAAAGAAAACTGATGGCATCACAGACCAAACAGCTGGGATGCCCTCTGGCATTTGCTATGGGAGACAAAAAGAATCTGCAAATTGGAGAGCAGTGAAAATGAGGCAGTGGGCTGAGAGGAAGGAGGGAAATCTTTATTGGAAGCTAAATTCTCTTCTGGATTCAGGATACTCATTACATATTTATGATCATGCATTTATTTCATTTCTGCTTAGAGAACTGGCAGCATGTTTGTGATTAAGGTTTTTCTGCAGAACACTGTGAAAATGAGCATCGTGACAAAGAGGGATGTGATTGATAGAGTTGGGGCAGAAGAGATTCCTCACCGCCAGCGATGGGAAGTGTTTTGAATGATAGCTGATTCACTTGGAAGAGGCGGCTCAGATTTAATGAGGGAACGGGGTGCTGCAGCCTGGGTACCCAACAGGTTGGCCGGGAAGTTTAACTCGTTGATTGTAGACTGGTCACCACACCATGCTTCCTCTCTCCTCCTCACTCTTCGTTGGGGGTCCTTCATTCCCCCTGTTCCTCTCCCCCAGCCTGCCTCTGCCTGACCTGATTTGTCAGCTCAGAGGTATCAGATGAGAAGCTGAGTAGCTCCTCACTCGAAAAGGATGAGGGTCATTGTTCTGTAGGGCAGTGATCACAAGAGAAGCAGGGAGGCTGAGCTGGGCCTGCACCCCCACCCAAAGCTGGAGGTAGAGGAGGAAACAGAAAGGAAGCAGAAAAGAAGACTCAGACACTTTCATTTCTTCCCACCCACCCTGCAAATGCAAGTGCCAGTGAATGCTGGAGGCCCTAGCAATAGGCTATTACTGGATTTAATTTGAGAATGAACTTGAGATACCCAAGTACACAGGGTTGGTGCTAGCAACAGACCAGGAATTGGAAACCTGGGATTCTGTGCCAGATTTTGCAGGCAGTTTGTGCTACTGGCGTGGAGGGGTGGGCATGTATCCAAAATAGTATTCTCCTATTCTGGAGGCTGCCCTGTGCCTCAGGTGAGCCTAGCCAGAGGAGGGGGTGGGGTGGGGTGAGGAGTGGGATCATTTCCGTATTCAGTAGCTGTCACTGAAAAACAAACACCCCCC